CGAATTAATGTGTTGAATCGATATTTGATGAGAAATTTCCTATTTCGGAAAAGTTAAACTTTTAGGTTTAACAATATCTAGAATATTAAACACATATCTTCTTATGTGTTTATATTTTATACTCACAATTAGAAAAAAAAAAGAAAAACTTATAGACCTTTTAAACAAGTATTTACCTCAAATAACTATACCAATAAAGTACTTTTTCAACTTTTATTACAATATCAACATTTGATATAGTAAATCTTATACTTGGCAATCTTCAACCTCAATTAAACAAAATTCCAAATAACAAGACTGCAATTTCAATAAGGTACTCAAAATTCTTTACAAAGTTTGAAAAGAATATTTTCAACTGCCATTATATTACTGATCTTGAAAATCAAATGAAAAAAACCATAATTACAAAATTAGATTATAATATCAAAACCAATACAATATTTTATAAAATACTTAATACATTAGCAATTAACAGATAAGGTTATTTAGTGAATCTTATATAAAGATTCTTTATAAATATATTGTACTGTTTTTAAAAAAATATCTAGCAATTGCAAGTTATGATTAATTTATATTCTAATAGAATAATACAAGGTCTTACACTAAAAAAAATTATAAAGAAATTTATTAATAAAAATAGGCTTAAATAATAGATTGACCTTTCAAAGCTCAAATATAAATCCAATTAAAAATCTTTAATTTGAAATAAAAAAGTCATGTGTTATAAGCCAAAACTATATAATTTCTATAACTTGATATTATTATACAAGAGATATAAAATAATATTTTACTTATAAATATTTTGAATTATTATGTTACTTGTTTCCAAGCTGTAGGATAATATATAAAAAACATTTAAATTAAATTCTTGGAAAAAAAATTTAAAAAATTTAAAAAAAAATAATTATAATTCCAGTTTTGTAAAAAAAAATCAATGTTCAAAGTCCATTTGTTTAACTTTAGTAAAATGAAATGGAAGCATATAAAATTTTAGTACATCATATCTTGATAGTTACTAAACATATAATAAAAATTAATAAAAAATTACTTATTACAATTTTAAATAATTAAATATAAAAAAATATTAACAACAATATATCAGATAACTATATTTTTGATTATATTAAAATGGAAAATATCAACTTAAATATTTTTTTTTATTAATTATAACAAATTTGAATTGTGTCTATTTTGTTTTCATCTTATTAATAAAAAATATTGTAAAAATATTTTTAAGAATTTATTAAATTTATTTTGTAAATAATCATTTTTGAATAAAATACAATTAGACAAATATAAAAAAGAACTAAAACTCTAAAATTGGTATTTAAATTTCATTATATTCATTATTTTTTATCAAAATACAATGTTTTATAAAAAGCAAAATAATTTATATAAGCAAAAAATTGTATAAAAAAAAAGCAAAATATATGCAAACAAGAAGGCATTAATCTTATCAAAATTAATTTCAATACAGATTTATTTTTTTAAATAAAAAGCAAATTACAAGAGAAAGATTATTTATTTTATAAAAAAAAAATATGTTATTTCAATATAGATAAGATAAAATTTTTAAAAAAATATCTAAAGGATTTATATAGTTTAGCATATTCTTTTTGTATTTTATTGGCAGGAACTAACAATACAGATAAATCAAATATAAATTTAATTTTAATAACAATATCCAAAATTTATTGTATTTATTTAAAAAGAAGATTTTAAAATAAAAAAATGCAATGTTAAATGTAAGGATATAGTTTAAATAAATTGAAATATAAATTAGTTAAATGTTTCTTTAAATATATTGTACAAGACAAATCAAAATCATATTATTAAAATATTACATTTTCTATAATTATACCTGATAAAATTCCAGATCTAAAAAATTTAATGCTAAAGGTAGTATATCAAAGATATTCAAAGATTTTTATTCTGACCTTTTAGACATATAAATAAACATTTCATTTTATAATTGAGGTTGGCATCAAAATATATTTACAGTTTATACTGCTAAAAAATTTCATAAAATTTCTATAAATATCCGTGAAAATGTTATCTATATTGTTCTCTTTAATAGTGAGGGCTTATTTTGAAAGCTTGCAGATATTATTGCCTCATTTACTGATGCAAATCCACGTAAAGCTTTAAAAATTAGTAATCTTACCTGAGATAAAAGAAACTTAAAGTTATTGATGCAAATAAACCCAGATAAAACTCTTTTTTACTTTGATGAGACATGATCCTTAACTTCAAAAAAGAAATTGAGTTATTAAATGATTATAAACATTCTATCTAATCAGAGCATAATTTCAAAAGTTAATGTTTCTTAATATTGACATATTTCTTCATGAATAGTCTATAAAGTTTATAATGCTCTGCTAACTGTTTTACAATTAAACCATTGGGACAATATATGCATTCTATCCATTTATGTTAAATAGGTATGCATACTTGTATCTTTTTTCCTACTTCCCTTGCACATTTAAGTCTTGATTGCATTTAACATCTGTAATTTGTAATAATGCAATGCATGAATATCATCAAATTCATGATCAAATTCAGGTTTATGTTTAATTTCAAAAATCCTATATACTTAAGTTCACAATATTTATTACTTGTACAGGTAGATTTTCAATGATTTTGTATAATTTTATTTTTTTTCAGTATATATGAATTTGTTGCATGAGAAACGAAAACTCCTATTTAGAAGCATATGATATAACATCTTGAAAGCGTATTTTTTTTTTGCATCAAAATATTTTTTATTTCTATTAGACAAAAGATTGTTTCTCTGAATATGTTAAACGGAACCAAATTCTTTTTTCCACTCTTCAGGAGTTTCGCCAACAGGAATTTGTGACAACCAGCAATATTAGGTCCATTCTTCAGTATAAGTTTTATAAATCGTTCAATTTGAATCCATTTCAATAGCTTAGTCTATTATTATAAAAGTAAATTGTTATAAAGATCTTAGATTTTGCAATTTACACATGTATACCTGTAACAAAATTCAATTTTTGTTTATTGCCTTGAGTAGATAATAATGACAATAATACAAACACATCATTTTCTGATAATGAAGATGCAACGATTTAAATAGCCGGAGGAAAGCGTATAAAAAATCGTTTCATTATGTTCATATGGATAAACTTTATCTGCGAAGCTATGCACTCATATTTGAGCTGGCAGTATCCAGACCGAATGAAGTTTGAGTGAATGTGACGCGCTGCGCGTGGCTTTACAGTGAAAAAATAAATGTGTAGTTTTTATTAGTCACACTTAGCCGAGCATGATGTTGTATAATAAACACTGCTACAAGATATCAAGAAGCTCACAAATAAATACAAAAGGTTTGGTGCATGTTATTCTAGCACCTATTATAATCCAACTTTTCTCCGAGATTATTCAACGATTTATACCCTCGACGATCAAAAATTATATTAAGTAATATAGGTGGGTGGCGACAGGTGGTACGTTAATTCCTGTTTGCGAGATATCTTTGCCTGCTTCGTTTCCAACTTTAACCTTTTCTTTTTATTATAACAAACACATCGAAATAACTTCGTCTTCTTAGCTGGTGCCTCCTCCGACGTGATGGCTCTAGCGGATGATATAATTATCAAGCCTACGACGGTTCGCGGTGTATTAACTAATAGCGGAGAAAAAGAACAAAAACAACACTACTCGACGAGCCGTTAGGATTTTATTCCTAGAGTCAATGTTTTACTCGAGAAGAATAGCATTTACTTTCGCATTTACATATTAACATCCGATTAGTTACAAATGCTAGTATATTCGTCTATATCTTATGTGATGGTCGATCGGCGAGTCTGTCGCTAAGGTGGGCAGAGTGTCGCGTAACCGTCGATTAGTTAAGGGTATTTATGAAATTTAAGGCATGTTCGATTTGGCTGAGTAAAGAATAACTCACTGCCCTTTATTTACTTTTGCTTTCATCTTTTTTATACATTTTAGTTGGGACGACTTTTACGTAATTGTAAAAATGTTTCTCCTCATTACATAATGCTTGATCACAATAATTTAATCGTTTTTTACGATTACATAACTTCCTGACACGCTATTTTACTACCATTTTAACCACTTTCTATAACTTTTTTGTTTACATACTTTTATAATGCTACCTCAAATACCACGTTAAGAACGGGCACTATCGCGACATTTAGTCACGTGACTGGCGTCGTCACAATTTTACACATCACAGTATATATAAAAATACACACATTTAAAAAATGAAAAGTACTTTTTTTATTATAAATTGACTGACCAGCCGAAAAAAAGCTAAATGCTTGAATATTTAGACATACAAGAGTTTAGTAAATGTCCTTCAATTGTTTGCGAACTCCATCTATTATGGTCTTACTAATCAATTAAGGAAAAAGAAGACTTGATCAAAGGACACTTCTATCAAAAAACAATTGTTCTAGAATAATGGCATATTGTACGCACAAGAAATTTGATATAAAGACATAACAAAGACATAACAAAGCATTCGGAAGGTGTTTCGCATATTCATGGCGTCCCAGAATTTAACACTTGATTTTATGAAATTAATTTCATCCTCTGTAAAAATTGAGACCACGTCTGTGGAAAATGTACGAACCCGATTAATTCTAACTACACCTATAGTATTAAAAAGGTTATATATTTATATAGCTCTTTTCATTATATCCTTATTACGGTTGCTAAAACATCAGGTGAGGATTAGGAAAAATGCCTATGAACCTCGTCATTTAAACTTTTTTTACACTCTCCTGTCCATTCCCTATTCATTCGTTGATATGAATGATTAGTATTAAACCAAATTCATTGTACTAATAGATGGTCTCAGAATCAACCTTGACAATTTTCCGACATAATTCGCGTAGAAACTCAAAGGGACAAAAATTATCCGGAGAGTACTTCCAGGGAATTGTCATCAACCTTCACTACTTCAGTTGTCACCTTACGTATGGGGCTAACAATTTTTTCTTCTCTACGCATAGAGCTGTTCCACATTGTGGTCTCGACACTCTGGACACAGTTTACGTTAGAACGAACTAAAGTTTACGACAGCATCTACTGTAATGGCCACAGTATGACAATTCATGAAGATTCTTCCCACTTATATCCAATAACACTATGTATATGATGACCGTGAAGAAATACGGGAAACATCACTTAATTGCGACATTTCAAATTAAATTAAACACGCGAATTCCGTTTACTTCAGTTGATAAATATAAAAAATATATATCGTAACCGATTTCTAAATAATTTAAATCATGGAATCAGTGCAAGAACGTCACATTCATTCTCCTTTATAAGAAAAGATTTTTTTGAGAAGAAATATATAAACACACAACCATTGAAACATAATAATTATTAAATAATAAAATAATTTGCCATGAATAAAAAATATTTTATTTTACTTGTGTTTTTTTTCATTATGCTGTCGCGGGTCAGGGGTCTATCAGCAGTAACGGCGAAATCCTAGACTTCGCGACACTTCGACAGGGGTATCTGTTA